GCTGTCCCTCTCCTGCTCTCCGGGTCTCCTGAAGGGCTGCTATGTCGATATTGAAGCGTCCCAGCTCCCTTGCAATGATGGCAGTTCTGCGTTCGGGGCGTTCACTGCCACTGTTGTCCATCAGAGTCCGTACGTTCCACGTACCGAAGTTCATTTTCCTTTTTTGGCCGCAGGGTGGTGACCCCACTGGACGCGGCAGTCCAGTCAGGGATAAGTGAGGCAGACTATGTTTAGGGCACCTTTTCTAGCCCCCTCCCCATGTGGGGTGAGCAGAGTGGGTCCTCAAAAGGGCTGCTCAGTCGCGGATACAGCTACCGAACTACTCAACTGCCTCGGACCTTGAGGTAGAACGACTGAGTCCGTACCCACCGCCCATGTGCCAGTCTGTGACTAGGGGCTTCCAGATTTCACAGTCCTGCCCCTCCTGCCCCCGTCGCCACTCGCTGATCGCCATGGGACTTTGGTTGCTTGGTTTTTGTTTTCTTTGGAAGATGCCTGTGCGTGGGTTTTTTTAATGTGTGGAGGTCAGTGCACAACTGATCAACACACAGGCTTCACAGAGTGAGGTTCCACTGGTGATGTAGTTTAACACAATGACCGTGGCTTTTCAGTCTGTTGCAGCCTTCTTCCGCCTTCGCAGCCGTTGTAACATGTGCCATGTTATCCTCCGCCTGCTCCGCCGTTGAGGTCTTTGGGTCTTCGGACTGTGCTTGGTCTGGAACCTCCCCCGCGGCCACTCCTGGGAGTGCACGACTCCAGTTGTTGTGCCTACAGGTTCATTGGAACGCGCAAGCCCCCTCACCACGACAAGGTGACAGTCCATCGAGGGGGAGTTTCAGGCAATACAAACACATAGATACTAAAGATACATTTTATTTTGAAAAGCACTAATTTAAGTGGACTTGAAGAGTGGGAATGAAAAATATTACATAATTCTGGGAGCTGCAAAAAATATATCACTGCAGAAAATATCATATAAATCTTCACAATAAAACTGGTTTATCCAGGAACAAAACCTGAGACTTTCAGATACTTTTTCTCCATCTGGAGGCATCCTCATATCTACCATATAAAACTGATGACCAAGGACAAGTGAAGCAAATTGCTGTAGGTACTTGAGCAAATATCTAAAAGAAAAAATGATTGATGTATGTAGAGAGATCTGACGAGCAGGTTTTTAATGTATATTTACAATTCTTTTAATTTTGTGGATGTATTTATTATGTGTTTTATATTATGTTTGGCATCAAATTGTTGCCTGTTTGGAAGCCGTTCTGAGTCCCTCTGTGGAGGTCAAGAAGGATGGGATTAAAATGTTTTAAATAAATAAATAAATAAGAAGAACATATTGCACACTAAAGAAACAAAGTACTTGTAGAGTAAAAAAAAATCATAAACTTCACAAAACAAACCACTACATGGTCAGTATATTACAAACATGGAAGAGAAAACTGCAAAAGGGCATATCTGGAAATGGTTGCAGAATAGGATGCTGAAAAACAAAACAGAAGCTTTAATATTTGCATGTCAAGGATGAGTACTTCAAACAGATAGCATCAAGGCAAATGCTGGGGGGAATAACTAAGAAGAGTAAATATGTAAAGAAAGTGTTGAAAGTGTTGAAAGTGTTGACCAAGTTATGAATTAATGCAGCAACACTGCAAAGACTAAATAGAAGAAATTCCATTGTAAATGGGCTGCAATCGAACTACAGTACAGACAGTTATCATGGGGAAAAGGTGTCTCCACTGAAGATTTATCACCAATCCTTATTTCAACAACAAGCCATTTTTTTCAACATTATAACAGGATAGAAAGTGAGGGAAAATCTTCAGAACAGGGACACAGACAACAAAACAAACACCATGGGGCTGTTAACTCTTCCCTATGCTATCCAAAGCTTATATAGATAAGCTTTGGACGGGATATGTTCTGGAGGTTTGTTCTTAAGCTGAAGTTGTTTGTAAATCAGAACAGGTGCGTTTTTAAGTGTAACTTCAGCCATAGGAACCTATCTTGTTGGTAGTGGTGATGTTGGTGGCAATAATAATAATAATAATAATAATAATAATAATAATAATAGGTTTTTTTTACTGTTATTTTGCATGGACTGCTTTTACTGAAATGTCTTCCAATCCCAAATCAAGCCAGAGTACAGTAGTCGAACACAAAGGTTGCAAGAGCATAATATGCTCTTTTTTTAAAAAAAAATCCAAAATATGTTTCCAAACAGAAGCTGCTTTAGTGCCATATCATTATAATTTCTCTCAACTGCAGTTTTCGAGTTCTACTATGGTGACCAGAACTTTAAGGCACAGTCACATTATGGATTTTCAGTCTCCAGAGTTCTATTTTCCACTTCCAGCCCTGTGCCACTGAAGACAATGACAGCCAAATTGCTTCAAAACATTGCTATGCATGTACATGTATGATATTTTTTTAAATTTTATTTTTAATATTGCTGATTATTTATCACCAAGGAATCAGAAGTTTATAATTACTTCTATGGGAGGATCAGATATGACAATTTATTGCTCTGACTGAAAAATTGGTATCCAATATTTAGGGTCCACACAAGCTCTCTTAAGTTTTCATAATTTGATCAAAGATCAGGGAATGCTGATCCATTCCAATAGTGCTGCTTCCATTTCCATTTAGTGTTAAAGGCCAAAATATTCAAAAAGGCAAGATATACTTTATCAACAACATGTATATCTATTTCAATTCAAAAAGGCACATTTCAGGGATTATTTGAGTTCAATTAAAAGATCAAAAAGTATACTATGCAATATTGTAAACAGCTGGGAAAGCCTCTTCCTCAATTGTACAATTTGATTCAATTAAGAACCTGGAACAACTATTACCAAAATTTCATCCTCTTGGCCATTTGATCCTGACTATTGCCAACAAGGTTGGAAATATTTGATCATGCATGCTTGTGGAGATAGTTGAGAAAGGAACATCTGTTCAATTAGGATTAGAAATAAACAAAAATTCATTTCTCTCAAGATACATTTAATTATGCTTGGCTAAGTGAGTCTCTATATAACACAAGTTCCTCGTGACTTTGATAACTTAGTCCTGTGCATGTTCACAGAAATAACTCCTACCAAGGTCAGTGCAGTTTAGTGACATGAAACCATGCACAACATTATAAAATAATTTAGGAACTCTCGATATCCTTCAATTCTGTACACTTGCTATATAACATAATTATTTTCTATGTTTTTCCTCTTGAAAAAATATGTTCTATAGCAAGTACAATTCCCCAATAGTTCGTCTACAATCCCCACAGCTAATAGTAACGTATTATGGGAGTTGTAGTAGAATGATATTTATAAACCTATGGTTCCCTATGCCCTTTTTTAACCATTTCTCTGCCAATCTTTTTTAAACTGAGGCATGGGAAGCAACTCAAGTTTGGTTTGTGCTGCAGAAAAATGTTTCTTAATTCTATGTACAACACAGTATAAAAAGGAAAATGTAACAACTAACGCCCCTTCTACACTGCTGTATAAAATCCACATTATCTGCTTTGAACTGTATTATCTGGCAGTGTAGAAGGGGCCTAAGAATATTTTCAACATTTAAAAAACTAAATCTCTGCCCTAATGCTCCAAGAAGGGAAGTCTCAAAACTGATTAATTTCTTTAAACTTTTGAAAACAATGTTCTCTTTCCTTTCTATGTGTATGTAAAAATAGTGGGTGTGTTCAGAACACAATAATACTGAAAATAATAATTATTTTGTATGTAAAAATAGTGGGTGTGTTCAGAACACAATAACAGTGAAAATTATAATTATTTTGCACACCAACAATTTGCACACCAACAATTTTGTGCAGCATCAAGTCAAATTCAAATTTCAGGTGACACATTCATTTATACAGAATGAATTTCTAAATTCTATCTTCCTTTACCAATCTACTGCTTTGGAAATTGTAGGGAAATTACGTTTGCTTTACTAGAATAGACAACTTAGTAAAACGCATAAAATAAACATTTACCATGCATAGTAAAGCTTCTATAAATTATACAAAACAGTTTGAAAGGCATAATCTTAAGCATACAACTCTAAATCTGTCTGTCCCAGTTAGCAATGGTAAATTATAAACTCCATTAGGAGAGTCAACATGGTGTAATACTCTGGATATTGGACTAAAATACGAGAGCAGCATTCAAATCACTGCTCAACCTCAGAAACTAAATAGGGTGCATCTACATTAAATATATTTTAAAAGTTTGAAACTGCATAAAATGCAGTTTAATGTAGTTAGCCCTCCAGGCTTTCCTGGAGGTTTGTCCTCATTCCAGCATGAATGGTGCCACCCCAACCCCCCAAAAAAGCCTTTAAATAAAATAAAAACTTACCACACCGCCATTAGGCTTCTCTGGAGGTCCCCAGGTGCATATCAATGACTTGCCAGAAGGCAAGGGACAGGAGTGATTTGCCCCCCACCTCCTGGTGTGTCGTTGGTACACACCAGGAGAGCTCCAGAGATGCCTAATGGTGGCTCAGTAAGTTTTCCCTTCTTTTCAGAGCTTTTGGAGGAGGGGGGTTGGGGAGGGGGTGGCTGCCCTCCTTGGTTTTCTGGGCTCATTGAGCCCAAAGAAACAAGATGGGCTGTGGGTCCACACCTCATTGGACCTGGGCCTTTCAGGAAGGCCCAGGTCTAATGGGCTACGTAAATAATTTGGGACAACCAGGGTTTACTGGCGGCCCTTTCAGACAGGGCTCAAAATGCAGGCCCTGTTGGACTTTTACCTGAGGCTGTTTTGCGGCCTCAGGTAAAAGTCCAACAGGGCCTGCATTTTGGGCCCTGTCTGGAAGGGCCGCCAGTCTGAGAACAAGGCAATGAAAACTCACCTATAAACAACCCTTGCCATGATATGTTTGCCTTAGGGTCACCATAAGGCACACAACAACATTTATTATTAATTGAATAAGTCTACTTTAGTTGGAATACACAAGTAGATTAAAAGTTAAAACAAAATACTTACATGGGCAGAAACAAATGGTAATAACTGTATATTGGCCTGGACGAAGAACCCCAGTATGTAAACTAAATTTGAAGATACCATCATCCATTGCTTTGCCAGCAGCATCAAGATTGAATCTCCAAGTAATGTCTTTCTTTGAGATATTTTCAAGATGTAACTTCTGAAAAAAGGAAACAACAAAAACAACAACAATTTTATTACGGTCCAGAGACCCATCAGTAAAACCAACAGTCATAAATTTTCCAATCTCAGGAGAAGCTCGTTGTACAAAATACATCTACATAGTTTCAAGTAATACCCCTATCAGAAGTTATTTGCTTTCTCAGACTTGCTGCCACTGTGAGAAATTTTGCCATTATGAGAGTCACCCTGTGGCACTTGTCCTCTAAAAGATATCTAACGATCCTCTGCGGGGGATGGCTGGTCATGTGGGACAGGATTGGATATAAAAGTTGGCTATGTTGCATTGTGTAGTAGCTACACTGCAATAAAATACACTGTCTACTCCATGAGGTTATGACTGAGCGAAAATAGGGGGGGAAAGCCAGGAGCATTATCAGTTTCATTACTCTAATACAATGGGGCTTCTCTATGGACAATTAATTACCAGTGTTAGAGGGATATTTCTTGAATAGCTCCATGTCCCATGCACAAATTTCAAACACAGACCAAGACCCAGCATCAGATGTGGTCACCACTTCCTAGCTATGTCTTCCAGTGCTATCCTCCAACACCTCCTGTTCAGCACTTCACAGTTATGTACATTTCAATGTTCCTGGGCAAGACTTACAACATCATACTTACTGAACAGAACAATATCCATGTTCTCCAAAAACTTAAAAAAGACTAGTGTTATAGTCCAATTACTATCCATCTTATCAAATGGACTAATAAAGAGGTTTAGGTAAAGTTTATAGTTTATCGGTATATACAGGGCAACAAATTACCTGAGCTTTTTCTAGAGTAGGAACAACCTACTTATAAAAAACCAGAAAATAGCAAATAAAAAAACAATGTTTTGTAGCAGTTATGAGCAAAATTCAAAAATGCATTCAAAATAATGGCAGGTAGCATTTTAATGACATGCAAAACCTAAGTAGCAAAAAAAAACACACACAAAAAAACCTTTTAATAGGGACTCAGAACTTCTGCTCAATGGAGACCGTTTTGCTTGTGCAGAAAACAACCAACATTCATGTATGACCTAGGCCTCAGAAATTTTAATGAAGATATCCCAATAATCTATAACTTATTATAGACCGTACAGAAAATATTCCTCTAAGGGTTAACTTGCTTTGATGAATTCTTCAAACCACTGTCTACATTTCTGGCTAATAGTGGAGGTGGAAGGATGGTCTTAGAGACTTTTCCATGAAAAGTGAAACATGTTTCTATTGTTAAATAAATATTGCATTATCACCATGCTGCACAGCAACAAGAGATTTTTACTGAATAGCCTCTTTTAGACAATTAGCAATGGATTGCAATAATATGATTTAACCTGGGGAAACCTTGGAATCCTGCACTCTTTCCAATTAGATGCCATCTATGAGAAGACTGGAAAACTAATTTTATTTTAAATTAGCTCCCATTTAGCACTCAAAATCCTAAACTATAGTTAGTCTTAAATATGGTTTATTGAAACTAACTACATGAACCACATGAAACTAACTACATGGAAGTGGAAGAAGACAACAGAATAGGAAGGACAAGAGACCTCTTCCAGAAAATTAGAAACATTGGAGGTAAATTTCAGGCAAAAATTGGTATGATAAGAAACAAAGATGGCAGGGACCTAACAGAAGCTGAAGAGATCAAGAGAAGGTGGCGAGACTATACAGAAGATCTGTATAGGAAGGATAATAATATTGAGGATAGTTTTGACGGTGTGGTGAATGAATTAGAACCAGACATCCTGAGGAGTGAGGTTGAATGGGCCTTAAGAAGCATTGCTAACAACAAGGCAGCAGGAGACGACGAGATCCCAGCTGAACTGTTTAAAATCTTAAAAGATGATGCTGTCAAGGTGATGCATGCCATTTGCCAGCAAATATGGAAAACACAAGAATGGCCATCAGACTGGAAAAAATCAATTTATATCCCCATACCAAAAAAGGGAAATGCGAAAGACTGCTCAAACTTCCGTACAGTGGCCCTTATTTCTCATGCCAGTAAGGTAATGCTCAAGATCCTGCAAGGAAGACTCCAGCAATACATGGAGCGAGAGTTGCCAGATGTTCAAGCTGGGTTTAGAAAAGGCAGAGGAACGAGAGACCAAATTGCCAATATCCGCTGGATAATGGAGAAAGGCAGGGAGTTTCAGAAAAACATCTACTTCTGCTTCATTGACTATTCTAAAGCCTTTGACTGTGTGGATCATAATAAATTGTGGCAAGTTCTTGGTGGGATGGGCATACCAAGCCACCTTGTCTCTCTCCTGAGGAATCTGTACAAGGACCAAGTAGCAACAGTAAGAACTGACCACGGAACAACAGACTGGTTCAAGATTGGGAAAGGTGTACGGCAAGGCTGCATACTCTCACCCAACCTTTTTAACTTGTATGCAGAACACATCATGCGATGTGCGGGGCTGGATGAATGCAAAGCTGGGGAAAATTGCTGGAAGAAACATTAACAACCTCAGATATGCAGATGACACCACTCTGATGGCCGAAAGCGAGGAGGAGCTGAGGAGCCTTCTAATCAAGGTGAAAGAAGAAAGCGCAAAAGCTGGGTTGCAGCTAAACGTCAAAAAAAAAACCAAGATTATGGCAACAAGAATGATTGACAACTGGAAAATAGAGGGAGAAAATGTGGAGGCCGTGACAGACTTTGTATTTCTAGGTGCAAAGATTATGGCAGATGCAGACTGTGGCCAGGAAATCAGAAGACGCTTACTTCTTGGGAGGAGAGCAATGTCCAGTCTCAATAAAATAGTAAAGAGTCCCTCCATCCGCATAGTCAAAAGATCCGCCTAGTCAAAGCCATGGTATTCCCTGTAGTAACCTACGGATGTGAGAGCTGGACCTTAGGGAAGGCTGAGCGAAGGAAGATAGATGCTTTTGAACTGTGGTGTTGGAGGAAAGTTCTGAGAGTGCCTTGGACTGCGAGAAGATCCAACCAGTCCATCCTCCAGGAAATAAAGCCCGACAGCTCACTGGAGGGAAGGATACTAGAGACAAAGTTGAAGTACTTTGGCCACATCATGAGGAGACAGGAAAGCCTAGAGAAGACAATTATGCTGGGGAAAGTGGAAGGCAAAAGGAAGAGGGGCCGACCAAGGGCAAGATGGATGGATGGCATCCTGGAAGTGACTGGACTGACCTTGAGGGAGCTGGGGGTGGTAACGGCCGACAGGGAGCTCTGGCGTGGGCTGGTCCATGAGGTCACGAAGAGTCGGAGACGACTGAACGAATGAACAACAAAACATGAACCACAGTCTTGTCTTGGTCCAGACAAGACAATAAATGGTGGTTGTAAAAAATAGGAACAAATCTAAAGTTGTGGTTGCACCAAAGGAGAAATTGGGCACTGTTAAAGTCAAAGGCTTACACAGATTTGTTCATAATTTCGCATGCATCTTCTCTATTCCTCCATTATTATTATTTTTTACTTTCTAATTACAGCATTTCCCTCAGATATTCACTTCCTGGGATTATAAAAGTGAAAGTGGTGTTTTACTCCTAGAATTCTGTTATATATTATAAACTTGCTTGCTGCCATTCACTTTCAAGAAGTGTCATTCTTACATTTTTATATTCTGCTCTTCTGGAAAAGCAAATTAAATAATATAAAGATGTGATTTGAAAAGGAGAAGATGGGTGGCCAGCTGAATGGTAGTATGCACAGAAAAATCTGAAGAATAGTGAAGAATATATTGAAATATCTATCCATCTCACTATTATGCTTACCTTTATGTTATTGCTGTCACTTACAACACCCAAGTTGATAGTTCTCATACTATATTGAAATAAGAGCTCTAAAGGAGAAACTTGCAATGGTGGCAGCAATACTAGAAATAGAAACACAAACATACATTTAAATTTAATCTCTCAATAAATACATTTTAAAGTTTTTGTTATTAGTCGAAACAATTGCCACTTCATTTGTTCCTGGAACTGATATACAGCTGGCCTTCCACATTTGCAGATTTAACTTTTGTGGATTAGATTATTTTCAGATTTAATAAATTATATGCTGGGGAACTTAGAGAATCTTAGAGGAGTGTACTCTTGGGTATTTAAAAAAGGGGGTCCTGCACTCTTAACCCCAGTAAATACGCAGCACAGACTTCTTCTGCTCTTGAAAACATAAAATAACTATTATTTATTTATTTATTTATTTACTGTCCTTGTATACGGCCGTTTCTCAGCCTAACTGGTGACTCAACGCGGTTTACAACAGAATATACAGTACACAGTATACAATTAAAACCATAAAAACATAATACACAATATTACACGTAAATCACAATCCAATACATCTCCTAACTAAAATCGTGGTCCAATTGCATCATCCATATTACCAATCCGTAGTCGACACATTCATTGCACCGAATTAACCAAATGCCTGCTTGAACATCCAAGTTTTTAGTCTTTTTCGGAATACCATCAGCGAGGAGGCTGATCTTACCTCCATGGGAAGGGCGTTCCAGAGCCGAGGGGCCACCACAGAAAAGGCCCTGTCTCTCGTCCCCGCCAGCCGCACCTGTGAAGCAGGCGGGATAGAGAGCAGGGCCTCCCCAGAAGATCTGAGGGTCCTAGTGGGCTGATAGGCCGAGATACGTTCGGATAGGTAGGTTGGGCCAGAACCGTTTAGGGCTTTAAAGGCCAACGCCAGCACTTTGAATTGAGCCCGGTAGCAAATCGGCAGCCAGTGGAGCTGGTGCAGCAAAGGAGTTGTGCGCTCCCTGCGCTCCGCTCCAGTTAGTATCATGGCTGCCGACCGTTGGACTAATTGGAGCTTCCGAGCCGTCTTCAAAGGCAACCCCACGTAGAGAGCGTTGCAGTAGTCTAAACGGGATGTAACCAGAGCGTGGACTACCGTGGCCAAGTCAGACTTCCCAAGGTACGGTCGCAGTTGGCGCACAAGTTTTAACTGTGCGAATGCTCCCCTGGTCACCGCCGAAACTTGGGGTTCCAGGCTCAGCGATGAGTCCAGGATCACACCCAAACTGCGAACCTGCGTCTTCAGGGGGAGTGCGACCCCATCCAACACAGGCTGTAACCCTATACCCTGTTCGGCCTTGCGACTGACCAGGAGTATCTCTGTCTTGTCTGGATTCAATTTCAATTTGTTCGCCCCCATCCAGACGTCACAGCGGCCAAGCACCGGTTCAGGACCTCGACAGCCTCCTTAGTAGCAGGTGGGAAGGAGTGACAGAGTTGGACATCATCTGCGTACAAATGACATCGCACCCCGAAACTCCGGATGATCTCACCCAGCGGCTTCATGTAGATGTTGAACAACATGGGAGATAATTTAGGCCTGTTTGATCAAGAAAAAATTTGTTTCTAAAATCGTTTTGTAATTGGGGTGTTTTTTTGTTTCGATATTTAAAATAATTACAAAACTTTCCCAAAAAAAGTTTTGGTATTTACAAAATTTTGTAAATATTAACGAATTTTTAGAATATTTTTTTATTTTTTAAGAATAATATTAAAATAATATTAAAAAATAATATTAAAAATAATATTAAAAATAATATAAAATAATATTAAAAATATTTTAAATGGAAAATTAACCAAAAAATGGCCCAAATGTGGACCAAACACAGGCAGGAGACAGCAAATGAGAGAAAACACCAACAGAAGAGTCTTTTCTTTTTTAGAATATTTTTTAAGAATAATATTAAAATAATATTAAAAAAATATTAAAATAATATTAAAAAATAATATAAAAATAATATTAAAAAATATTTTAAAATGGAAAACGAAACCGCACAGGCCTACTATACAGACATAGCGGGTTTGAGTCAGACCCAGCTAACACCTCCCAACAAAGGATTCCCCTGAGCAGGAAGGAGCCAGACTTTGAAGCTACAAGGCCATTTAATCCCAATCAAGCTGTCCAATGGCAACATTCACACTTGCTTCCAACAGACAAGAGTTCTTTCTCCCACCCTGGACCTTCTACAGCCAGGCTTTGAAGCTGCGAGGCCATTCAATGCTAATCAAGGTGGCCAATGGCAGCATTCACAATTGCCTCCAACAGACAAGGGTTCTTTCTCCCACCCTGGACGTTATTTCACAGGGATATAAACCCTACTTGCCTAGTTTCCAACAAACCTCTGAGGATGCCTGCCATAGATGTGGGCAAAATGTCAGGAGAGAATGCTTCTGGAACATGGTCAGCATACAGCCCTGAAAAGAAAACTCACAGCAAAAGAGCCTGGATGCAGCCTTCAAGATGGTATTGGTCTCATCTCAGGCGGGCAACGGAGGCAGAGCCGGCGCTGCAGGAATCCCCTCCCCGGCTCCTGCGCTCCGGCTCCGGCTCCTGCGCCCTCCTCCTCCTCCTCCTCCTCCCAGCTGTGTTGCATGGCGATCGGATGGCGCGCGGAGGCCGGTTGTAAGGGTGAGCGCGCGCACGCCATCCAATTGGCTCCGGCTCCTGCGCCCTCCTCCTCCTCCTCCTCCTGGCACTTCCTGCAACACAGCTGGGAGGAGGAGGAGGAGGAGGAGGGCGCAGGAGCCGGAGCCGATTGGATGGCGCGCGCGCGCTCACCCTTACAACCGGCCTCCGCGCGCCATCCGATCGCCATGCAACACAGCTGGGAGGAGGAGGAGGAGGAGGAGGGCACAGGAGCCGGAGCCGATCGCCGCCCCTTCGCCCCGCCCGCCCCATTTACAAAACGGGCGAAAGCTCGTAAATACTCTGGTAGTTGCCGTTTCGATATTTAAAAACCCTTCCGGGTTTGAAAATATGTTTTGAAATCGCGTCGGATATGGTAAAAATAACAAAACATTAACGAAATAACGAAATAACGAACGAAACCGGACAGGCCTATAATGAACCCTGAGGAACCCCACAAGACAAAGGTTGTGGGGTTGAGCAGGAGTCTCCCAGTAACACCTTCTGAGACCGACCCTCGAGGAATGAGCGGAGCCACTGTAGAACAGTACCTCCAAGACCCATCCCGCGAGGCGTCCCAGAAGGATACCGTGGTCGACGGTATCGAAGGCCGCGGAGAGGTCCAGCAGCACCAACAGGGACACACTCCCCCTGTCGAGCTCCCGGCGCAGATCATCCACTAAGGCGACCAAGGCTGTCTCGGTACCATGCCCCGGCCTAAAGCCAGACTGTGAAACTAATCTTTCATCATATTCAATTTAATATTCTTACTAGGGATTGTTCTACTAGACATCAATTTGACCCTCTAGGAGATTTATGAGGTTTGCATGCTCCTTCTCCATTGCTCAAGGCTTCCACTTCCCCCTTCTATTCTTGAAATCATAATTTGCCATAACTGAACCTGTAATCTATCAATAATGTCTTGTTTCCAAATCATTGTTTGAAGCACAAAAATGAAATAAATTAGCAAATCATTGGTTCAAATAAGTCCTAGAGTGGCATAATAATGTCAAATTTCAAGTTGAAATCCCAGAACTTTCTGATCACTTGTGGCTATGACATTATCTAACATCTACTTTGGACTTCTCTACTCTCACAAGATATTTTTTGGTTTAATTTTATTTTTTTCCATAACAGGTAATCTTGTCTGGTTAACAGAAGTTACTTTTATTCGTTGGAGGGTTTTTGTAAAGAAAAGTTTTCTGAAAAGAGATATACAATTAGCAAGAATGTGCCATTTTGTATATCTGAAATAATATTTTCTGCCAGCCACATTCTGGATTATGCCATATTCTAAATTCTACTTATTAGACTGAGTCAGAAGTTTCCCAATTGTTTTTTTTTCTTCAAAGAGGACTATTGACAATGTGAAGGAAATCAATAGCTTAAGAAAATGTGCACTAATACAAAACACTACTAATACAGATTCAGGTTCTACGAAGAATAAATTGTAATATCACAAGTTTAGAAAATTGTATGGAATCCTTGGGAAATAATAAAGGAGAAACAACACTGGCTGATCACAGAGTGAATCTAAAACCCACAGGTCAGAGAGACAAAACTTTTTGATGAATAAAGACATCACGTGTGACTAAGTCCGATCACGTGTGACTAAGTCCGATCAGGTTCCCTTGTCCCCTCTGACCTTAGCTGCAATCTATATTGTAGTTGGAGTAAAAAAATAGATTTTTCCATCAACATTATATATATTTCCAAGCTCTTGCTATTGGTTGGCTTTGTCTTGAATAGTAATTTGCTGGTATGGATCAACACTTCTATCTGAAAGAACTTTATTTGTTAGTGTAGTCATGGAGACTGCCTTGATCAGCACCCAAACCTCAATATTTACTACAATACTAAAGAATAAGAGCCAACAAGGTGATATGACTATTGAAAGGTAAACTAAATCAATAAAAGCATTGGGCAAGACATTCTAAAAGTGAAAGAAATACTGATATTTACAGACAAAGAACTGAAGAAATCAAATATGAAACACTATGTTTTAATCATTCAGAAATAATATATGAATTTGAGCACATACACTGGAAAGAGCAGCAACAGCCTATTTACACACTCAGACTCTATTGTACATTTCTATGAGGAAGGCAGAAAGGCTACTTTTCTATACAAGCAGTAAAAAATAAAACAACATAACAAAAGCAGTAAATAATAAAGGTAGCATAAATATGATCATCATAGGAAAAAAAGATTAAATGATAAACAGCCATGCCATCTCAAAATGCAAGTCAAAGATCACTTGCTGCACATGCCTAGAGTTGTTGTTTTTAATTACCTATGAGTAGATCATCCTAACATTTTTCCTTCTAACCATGCTGGCAGGGATATATGAAAGGGTGTATTTAAACATGCAATCCCTCGTTTACACTCTGAAGTAATACTAGTGTAATACACACATGTGCTATCTCTTTTATAGCAAGA